AACCCCTACGGGAAACTTTATAAACAGGGCTAAGAAGAAACAACGCCAGGAAATATTGGGTTGGCAAATAAGTCCTTTCGGTTTTTCTGTTTATTTTTATGTCACTATGGCACACTTCTTACCTGATGAATTAATCCCTAATGTGGATTGTTTATCCTGTTTGTAATATGTCAACAACTATACCTGTAAACTCTTGTTGAAACTAGTATTGTGTTTGCTATTGCACGGTGAATATAGCATGGTAAGAAAATACCATTCACTATGGGCATATTTTGTTGTATTATTTTAAAAAAGGCAAGCGTGCTGCAGAAGCTCATAGAAAATTTGCAGTGTTTATGGGGATGGTATCTTAACCGAACGCACCTGTCAAATTTTTGACATCAATGACGCTCAACGGTCTATTCGCTCACATGAAATTGAAACGAGCAATGTTAAGGCCGCGGTTGATGAAAACCCCACGCAATCAGTGCGAGAGATTGCTACGGCCCCAAATGTGTCGCATACAAGCGTAGAAAACTATTTGCACAGGCTCGGTTATGTTTCCAGGCTTAAAGTTTGGGGCCCTCACAAAATGATCTCAACAGCACCTTCGTTAACTACAAATGGAGATAAAAAAAAATAATAAAACCTACAAGGAGTTTTTGTTTTTTATTCCTTATGGCATTAAATCAAAAAAACATTCACACAATTTTCCAACGGTTAGAGTAACATCGAATTTGGAGAACATCCTGGAGAATCATGAATGATCGGAAAGGTGTTGTATTCCGCCAAGACAACACTATGCCACACCTCATTGGTTACTAACAATATTATTGATAATAATAACAATAAATTATTGAAACTTGGATGGGATCTTTTGCCCCTCCCATATTCTCCAGACCTACCTTCAAGGACTACCTCTTGTTCCGGTCTCTGCAGAACTCTATGAATGGAAAGAAATTTCAAAAGCAAGAGCACATCAAAAACTACTTGGATCAGTTTTTAACAATAAACTGCAGACATCCAGATGCAGCTACAGTTAGAGGAAAGATGGGGAAAAGTCATATTAAATAATGGTCAATATATTGTAGATTAAAATAAACTTTGTCTATAATACATTGAATTTTATTTCACCCTAAAAAACCGAAAGGACTTTTTGCCAACTCAATACTTTAGGTTATCCTGATTACATAAACATACTGATATCTTAACATATACATAAAAATATATATGATTGTAATGAAATAACAATATATGATTCTCTAATTAATGTACTTAACAACATAAAAAATGGAACCGAATCTATAGTATAATAATTATGTTTTGGTAACAGCTATTCCATTAATAATCATTATGCTCATATAATAATGAACAAGCCATTAATAAAAAGCGAGGTCATGATAGGCAAGCCAAATTGATCATTTCACTATCGAGTCAGAAGAGGTTCCGGTTCTAATTCGGCTTGAACGGATTAAAATTTATTTCGTGGCGGACTCACAGAATAACCTTTCATTGCTATCGGCAATGAAGAGCCTTGGTCTTTTCAACAATTTCCCTCCACTCAGACAGATCCTCAGCAATGCCTCACACCACCTGACCTCAGGTCTGCCGATAAACGTCCGTCCATCGTAGTCTGGACCAGCATCTTGTACTTTCTTCCTTTGGACAAACTTCCATTACTTGATTTGGAAGTCTTTTATGATCCATAAGTTATACATGGCCCAGTCATGTTATTGTTTCACTTTTTTATATAATATGAAATGATATCAGGTTCCCTCAAGTTCTATAGTTGTTTTCATGCAATAATGATCATCATTTGCTTAGGTCATATATTCTTCTCTGAATATTTCTCTCCTATGTTCTATACAACCTCTCTTGCTGCTTGCTTATTGATGGCATAAGGATGTAAAATTCGAAATAAAAGTTAAAACAAAGCAAGCCGTTTCTAAACATAAAATGTGCTATCAAATATAAAATGCTCAAGGTTCGATATAACTTTCGAAATTATATTTTTACCAATTCACTTACATCCTAACTCATGGATATAAAACGAAGAATTTGAACAAAAATCTTTAATTTAAAAATCATATGTGTTTTAAAATATGTCCTCCAAATATATATCAATACATTGAAAACAATGAGAGAAATTTCACCGAACATAAACTATGTACAAAATTTATAATATATTAGTTTCTTTTTTTATGTGGAGCATACATCAAAACAATAAAAAAAAATTATAATTTTTTTAAAAAAATTACGTTTCGTTCTACTAGATTTATTATTGTTTAAGATTTAAAATTAGAAGTTTTAAATAAACTCATTCTTATATTAATTCACAAATAATTATTCAGTAATGGAATAAGAATAATTAGTTTGAGGAACAATAAATTGGAGTTAAATAAGATAGTTTAATAAGGTAATATAATACTAAACAAACATTGGTATCGATTATTATATTTAGAAGCAATTAATTGGATAAAGTTTAGGCATCAATAAATGAAAAACGAGCCCAATTTGAAACAAAATACTCCTATTATTTTAAAGATCGTAAAAAAGTACTGTAGAGTTTTTGAAGAAAATTCTATAAATAACTAAATTATCTTTTTTTATTGCTGAATCTAGGATTAAAATTGTTAAGTTGTAAGATTGCACCATATACCATGAGAGTGTTAGTTAGCATTTGCTAACGGTTGTTCATTATAAACAAACATATCTTATGTGTGCATGTTTTTCAATGAATATTAGTTCAAAAATATTTTTTATAATAACAAATACTCATTATTTTACTTTAAAATATATTTAAATCATTAACATTTATTAAATATTTAAAGTGATAAATAAATAGTTCTTTGTTCAACTGCAGGATCATTAACCTTTCAGTACCTTTTATATTAGTTCTTAATGATATTTTACTGAGATCCATTATTTATTTATTTTTTATTTGTGAAATTTCTTTTACTCTGGCAATGTCAATAAAATAAACAGTGGAATCCTTGTTAAAAAGCCGTGAAAAAGCTAAGTGGCAAGTTGTTTAGTTTAAAGTTCAGAAAATACATTGAAAAAGACATGGATACAATTCTAGGGAATAAAAATGGAACCTTAAAAAAACAAAAATGAAATGAAAAAATAATAGTGAGACGGGAAGCGTACATATCACATACAATATAAATATCAAAATATTTACAAGTATACATACAAGTTTTTAATAATAATATTATTTTTAAAAAATAGTTGGATACAATCAATACAGAGAGTAACATAGCAGTAGGTCATAGTGTTACTAAATCATAGGTTTTATGTCAGAGAACTGATGAGATCAACCGAACGCTACCCGTTTAACCCTTCATCCGGTGGAATCCCATTTTAATAAAGGGGGAGTGGTTTCGAGTGATTGAAAGGACAGGCAAACCTACATGAGTCCAATCCCTGGCCGAATCAGACCCCTGGTTTGGGCTTCTACCGATCGCAAACTTTAAAAATCCATCACCGAGATAATAATGAGGAGTGCTTATGAGGTAGACAAATCAGAATGTCAGAACAGTTTAAAATTATGTTAAAAACACAACACAATATTTTATGTAAGTGAACTCAATTATTGCTAATAAGTACGCATTTTAAATTGCTGTTATCTTTAATCGAGTACCGTATATTGAGTGTACTACTAGTTGAAGATTATGTTATAACAATAAAAATGCAAAACGTTCCGAATTTTTCATGTGAATATTTAATAAGATAATTTTCGTTAAAGAAAAGAGGAGGAACGGAGGAGCTAAGTCACTACAATGGAGACTCAGCTACGTCATAACCTACCACTGCCAAACTAAAAAAAGGAAAGATATTTCTTAGGTGGAAGTTTAAACGATGGAAACACTATTATAAACTAGTGTTTCCATCGTTTAAACTTTCACCCAAGAAAAATATTCTTTCCGAATTTTCTCTCATCCTATCGTCTATGAACAGAAAAAAATATTTTATTAGCTTATTATAAATGTATGTTTATAAATTAGCGCTTGAGAGATATTTAATAGTGTAGTATTTAGTTAAGCAGCCCTATACGTCACGGCATGGTGTAGTTAGGTCACGCACGCAGTCCCCACCATACCTCTCAGGAGCACAGTTATTTCAAGTTGTTAGCTAAATATAAATGCTTTTAAAACTGTAATCTTGATCTTAAAAGTTGTTTTTATCAAGACATTTCAATGATAATGTATTCCTCCTAGTAATGATATAATATAAAATGATAAGTCTAATTGAAACTAGAAACTCTACGCCGATAAGACCAGATAATCGTTGCTTAACCTTTATACCTATAAAAAAGCGATCTGAATAAGATTAGATTAAATTACATTTTATACTGGTTCACTACCAGATTTTTAACAGTTAGATTAGCGAAGATTATTTGTATTTATTTATTTTTCATTCATCTCAACTACTTTATTTTTGTTTTATCCGTATTAATGCTGACCTAATTCTTCACAAATATCAATGCTATATACTGATGGCCAAAGAGGTAGTACTTAATTCAAAGTTATTCACGACGAGACGATACTAAATCACGATCAAATCATGTCGTAGCTTAAAATCACAACTTCTTTCACCGAACGAATAAAAAAGTCGAATTTCTGCGCTATATCAAAACATTTAACTTGATTAAAACTTGTGAAATTTTCATTCGCGTTAATTACACGGCTGATTATAAAATTGAGTTTATATTGATAATCACTAATGACTTTAATTTTTAATATAAACTTTGACACGATGTTCCAATATTATTAATATTAATTGTAATTTATAAGTTAACCTTTTTAAAATAAACTATGACATTGTTGAAAAATTATAATTAGTTGTTATTTATAAATTCGTGAAACTAAGTTGTAAAAAAAAATATATTTTTGACTAAATTTTGAAGTTGTGCACCTATGCAGTTGCAGTTGCAGTTGTGCACATTCCCATGAATCTTGTGATATTACAAATTTATCAGGTAAAAAGATTTAAAAATAGTATAAAATAAAAAAAAAAATCTACTCACATATAACAGATAGATTGGCGTTGGCCCTGATGGGTTTGTGAAATCCGTGGGGGCCGACTTGACACTGGAATTGTGCGTCGTCCTCCAGGCTGGCGTTGATGATGTTCAAATTGTAGACGCCATTATTGAAGTCCCCGATCATTTTGTACCTCGGGAAACCAGGAATCTCTGGTGAGAAACCTAAAAGGAAATCAAAGGTAAGTATAGGAAACTTAAAATGGAATTTTGGATTGACTACTCTCTGATAGCATTAAGCCAAAATAAACAATAGGTTTATTATTATTAACTAACAATTTTTCTCTTTATCTATTTTATCAATTTAGATATAATTACATTTCAAACTACTTTAGTTATCCACAACTCAATGCTATTCATGGATATATAAATATAAATACAAATAAATATTTAATTTGTTTTTGTATTAAGTCGTAATTAGAATATTTCTAATTATATCTTTATGAATTTCTGAATCATGGCGAGTTTTTTTTACTGTATTTATTGGTTTGTTTTTATCTATATTACCATTTGAACATTACATTAATTAAGCTATAGTGTAAACAATGAGATCATTTTAGTTAATAATATTAGGATATAGATATTATAAGTATTATGAAAACGAAATGTATTATAATAACAAAGTTTATTTATTTATATGAAATAATAAAAACAATTTTATATATAACTAGCTGATGTACCCATCGTTGACGGGTATATAGTTGAAATTTGAGAATCCGTGTAAAATTAGAACTTGATCTGAATATTGTGTAGGACTTGATGGAAATGACACCTCGAACGGGAAGATCGGACTATGTTGAAAAATCAGTGTGTTTTGCCCGTTTTATGTGACAAAGCGTTACAGATGGTCGGTATTCCGGATTTTTCCCGTTGAGTTGTGATCATTTTTTCCATCAGTTGAGTAGTACAACTTTTAAATGTGGATTGCGATAGAGGAGGTTGAGATGAGAATCGAAGTAAATAACTGCCTAACCGGGATCTCTAGACAAATTACTCAAGAGTTCATAGCTTTCGTTCTACTGCTTTCGTTCTACTCAATATTTTGTTTTCATTTAAAGAATATATTTTAATTCAAGTAAACCTAAATATAAAGTCAAAATTTCAAAAGTTCACCATTAGCCATTGCCGAGTTTACCCATACCAAATTTCGGACATCCAGACAGACAAAAATTTTTTTAAAAGTCGATTTGGTGTCTGTAATGTATAAAACGGAAAGATATAATGAAACGGGTTGATTCTATTCAATGTACAGACAAAACTTTTATTTTATTTACATGGATGTTCTTTAACCTATAAACATATGTTTATTATTAACATTTATTATCAACATTAACCGAGATCTTTAGACAAATTACTAAAGAATTTATAACTTTGGTTCTGCTCAATATTTTATTTTTATTTAAGGTCTATGTTCTAAGTCAGGCAAACCTTAATATAATGCCAAAGTTTCAAAAGTATACAATAAGCCATTGCTGAGCTTATCTCTGACAAAATTTCGTTGCAATGCGGACATACAGACAGACAAAAAATTTTTTAAAAGTGGATTTGGTGTCTGTAATGTATGAAACGGAAAGATATCATAAAACGAGTTGATTCCATTCAATGTACAGACAAAAACTTTATTTTATTTATATAGATTACTAAATAATTAAAGTATAATTTAATAAACATTATATAAGTTTCATGTTCCTTATTAGTTATATTCCATAACTCTTATTTAATATGTACATCCTCTGTTTTGTACTAATTAATATTTTTGATATGGGTATACAGTTGACTGTTGGAGTTGTACGGATGAAAAATTGTTATGTTTTGTCAGAATGTGTAGTCAAAATATTATGTTTATAGATTTTGTCAGACATGTGTGTCAGAAAAATGATAAATATAAAAGTATAACAGAAGAAATAAATAGAACGTACAGATGAGATAACGGTTATCCAAACATAAAAATAATAAAAACATAACAGTATGCAAAGGGAATGTTTTTGTGTAATAAATAAATGAAAAAGATCAGTATATCAAAAGTAAAAATTAATAAATCAAATAATTAGTGTAAATAATAGCAATACTGAATTTTGACTTATTTATCTAAAACACCAAAACATCATTTCTCTGATATAATTATCTATTTTTTAATATTTAGTGCTGATGATGACCCACATGTTTGTGTTGAAACGTCGGCAAACTCAATAAATATATTTTTTTGACTGCACATCCTGACCACTTTTTATCCTTATTAATATTTTGAGTTTTTAATACCTGGTGGATTCTTATTATGTATTATATTTAAATTCAACTATTTACTTTGATGTTTTTACCCGACTATGGTTTAGGATGTGTTAAGGTTGACTGTCTGAAAGTATTGACCGAATTTTTGAACGAATGGCTCAACCGCTTTACAATTTTGATGGCTTCAATTATTTGGTGAGATCCCGCGAGTGTTTCGCAACAATCTTAGCAACAATAATTCCTGAGGAATGGCATTTCAAAAAACACAGATCTAGCCACATAGTGATAATATTCTAGCAAATATCTTGGATACTGATGTTACTATAATGATAATTATTATAAAATACTGTGTTGTACGTTCATTTATTTTCGATCTGTGCTCTACCGTTCCCGAAGGACATTCTTTAGAAAAAGTAACAAACGGTGATACCTAGAGTTTTTAAAAGAACATGTAGTGTTTTTAAAGACTGTTCCTCTGGAACTATTGAACATGTAGAACTCTAATGGGGATCAAATTGAAGAATGCACTACAAAGAAGTTTATATTATCTTTTATGGTTTAATTATTATCCTAGTAGGAGGAGTATCAGTTTCAATGAGTTCAAAAGTCCATTAACAAACGAAAAAAAAAATTGTATATGTAATTTAGTTTGCCGATTCGAAGCCACTTTCTAACTTCAGCAGACAATGGATTTAGGCATCTGGGAGTAGTGCAGTCTCATTGTGACTCGGGCCAAATATCTTAAAATACTGTAATTTTTATGTACTCTGTGTTCCCCTATTTCAAAAGGTGCCATTTTGAAAGGCCACAGTTATTCTACAGTTAGGAGACTTTTGGACTGTTTTCTAAGGGTAGTCATTGTCACGGTGTATGACTAAAAGTTTTCTTCAAATAAGGTACCGAATTTAGATCCGGCTCTTGGACCATAAGGAAAATAAAATCTGTCTAGAATGAGAATATTTCGTGACATCTAATCATTTGCCACGGTATAATTAAAAAATTCTTCACTTCTCGACATTATTTTGAGATTTAATAAAGTTAACGATACCCAAAGGAGGAATGTAATTTAGGAATTTCAACAATTCAGGACCGGGAGGTATTTTAATTTACTTTTAAAAGATGACACAGTTCCAATGTTTTTTTAAGGAATTAAAATTTATTCCATCGTTCTGGAATAAAATAATACCTTGAGAGGATTTAGAAGAGGATTACGTAGAATTATTATATATTTTAAAGACCTATTCAAAAATCAGTTGATAGGATTGTTATAACATGTTATAATTAATTAATTTACAGAAAAAATATAAATAATATATATATATATATATATATATATATATATATATATATATATATATATAAAATAAACTTAACAGACCACATGATACAGCTCTAGTTATCTATATTTCAATGTTAGAAACATATTAAATAGTATATTGCTTTGGAACTTGTTTAATTTGTTTGTTTAATTAAATGTTCTATACATCCTAATATCTGTACTCAATATAACCATTCGCCCCTTTGTTCTAAAATAGAGGCCGAAAAACGTGTACCATTACAAACATTAGCGCCAAAACGGCTACAAAATCTTCAATGAAATATGTCATAAGTCTTCTCCAAATTTAAGAACATAACATACTTGCATATAACATATAAAAGATGCTGGAAAAAGTAACGATGAATGCTGATTTTTTTTTCTCGAATAATCCAATAAGATCACATTGTACAGTTGGTTACTGATATGGTTCGAAATTAGACATTCCATAAGACACGAAAAAAAAAATCATTGAAATCAGGAGATTTGGAGCAGAGTTCTAAAAGTTAACAAATGTGCTACAAAGCTAAATTTGTAGGTCCCTTGCTTAGGTTTTTGATTACTTGAAAACTTTACACTTACTAAATCAATGGATATTACGTTTACATAATGAAAAAACAAGTCAAACATTCATAAGCAAGCCAATACTTGAAATAGACTATTTTTCTCTAAATTGTAATTATTGTGACCTATTTTTGTTATCATTGTGAAACGACATACATATTTGATATATAAGTATTTAAGAAATACTCCACTTATCCCTGTTGAGCAAATCCGATACCTAGGACTCCACCTGGACAAACGACTAACTTGGAATCCTCATACTAGACTGAAACGACCAGAAACCGCTCGACGTTTCCGATTACTTCACCACTTACTAGATAAACGTTCTAATCTTCCAATTAATTACAAAAGACTCATATACTTGAGTATAATAAGGCCTATTTGGACTTACAGAGTTGAGCTTTGGGGCTCCACTAAACCATCGAATTCCTCTCGTATCCAATCCTTACAATCCAAAATCCTTCGTAAAATCCTCAATGCTCCTTAGTTTGTTACAAATAAAACCATCCATAATGACCTTAATGTTCCTTTTGTTTCAGATCTGGCCCAATCCAGATACCTATCCTTCGATAATAATCTTCACAATCATCCCAACCCTCTCGTTTCTAACCTTGCTTCCTCTTCAATTCCTGATAACCCTCCGAGGCGTCTGAAAATAAGATGGCCCCGTGATCTCCTAATGTAAACATATCATTAGAGTGCTACTATTGGATAATTACTGAGCAAGTGTTTTTCATGTCATTATATACATTAGGTTCTAATTTACTAGATGTATTTATTTAATACAGTTGTAAATGTCTTTAAGAAATTAAAAAAAAAAAAAGTATTTAAGAAATAATAAACCATTGTATAATAATTTTCAGTGTTTTTCGATGAATATTATGAGACAAAGTTTAAAATTTTAATGATTTATAATACTATGAGTATAAATAATAGAAAGAGATAATTTTAAAACCATCATACTTACTATCTCTATTGCGCTTTTATAGTATCTACATTTAAACTATGTACATATCATGGGTGATAAACATTCAGGGTGCAGTTATTATTAAGTTTT